CCGATCCCCATTAGTGCTTAAAAGCACTATTCTTCCTGGGGTCAATAAAATAAAACATAGATAACAAAACTTTGTACATAATGATGATTACAAATAATAAAGTAACTTCAAATCAATAGAGTAAATTCAAATCAATAGGAGAGGTCAGAGGTCGACCTAAAAAAAAGCACAGAATAATCTGAACATAATTCAGAGTTGTATGTAATCAACAAAGGTGCCAACAAAATTAACAAAGGTATAAATAACTTAGATAACTGAATAGAACATAATGTCTAACTGATCATAATTCCAAAGAAAAGATAAATATAACAAATTGATCAGCCATTTAAATAACTGAAAGGTAGCAGCAGAGACAAAATAATATACAAAATCAAATAAAATATTCTATACAATAAGAGATCAGGCTTAGCTTATGCTTGTTACCACCATAGGCTCAATGGTGAGGATTTGCTTTGAGTCATAGCCCAATCTCTTATTCTTGTTTTGAATACAGCACAGTCGGTTGTGATTAAGTTACTAGGTAGTGTGTTATACGCTTTTGTGCATCTGTAAAGAAATGATCTAGTCAGGGCTTTGGTTCTGGGTTTGGGTAGTGTGTAGCCTCCTCTGTGTGACAATCTGGTGTTGTGTTGGTGTGAGATATGAGTGGTACTAACTCTGTCATATGTGCTCTTTGGTTGTTTGACTTTGACAAGTTTGTGGAAGGCACTTAAGGTGGTGGTGTACATTCTTTCCTTGACAGATTGCCACTTGAGCCTAGAGTGTAGATCGTCAGAACTAGTGAGTTGTGTTGAGTTCGCTGCAAGCCTAGCTGCTCGGTTTTGCATACACTGTAGTTTGTCTAGCTGTGTCTGTGTTGTGGAGGAGAGTATTGTAGAACAGTAATCTAGGTGGGATAGAACAAGGGATTGGATGACAGTTTTAAGTAGATCACCTGGGAAGTAGTGATTCTTTCAAATTTATATTCCTTTTTGCATCCTTTCAGTGACCTTTGCACATATATATTGTTTAAACATATTAAGACGTTTATTTTGGCATGATTAAGTGTTAAAAAATTTCAGCTTATCATAATAATTTATGCAAAAATAGGATGAGGCCTGCAGGCATGATAATGGTGTTGACCTTTGACCTCATATGATTGTCAAATTGTCAAACCTCTGAAAACCTGATGAAATAATTCCTGAGGTTGAGGTTACTTGGCAAACTGCATAATGAGGACATATTGAGGACATCCGAACAATTTCGTGTGTAGGAAAGTGCAAATACATTTGGACCCCAGACGGTCTTACATCAGACTTCCGTTGTTACTTTTACAAATTTGTGCCAATCTCCAAAAAAAATTAGGAGAATTTGTAGAAGAGGTTTACTGACAAAGTCACGGGAGGAATTTTTTGTAAAATAGAAAAAAAATTATAGCACATAAAAATATACGTCTGGGGTCCAAATGGACCCCGTTCGGGTGTTTGAGGGTTAACCATCATAGGACGAATGCATTTCTACCTCCGGGGAAGGAGATATCCTTCCACTGGGAGGTATTGCTTTGATCCTCCCGTTTGTTCGCAGTCATTCGCCACGAACGTTGTGCTTTCTGTCTGTAAACACGATTTCTCAAGAAGGCTTGGGTATATTATCTTGATATTTGGTAAGTAGGTTTTGACGAGACCTCTAGCGGCTTGTAATGGTACCGCAGCTGAAATTCCCGTCTTGATATCTCCTGATCTGGACATTGTCACCTTTGCTCTGCGTTGGCTTCTCCTGTAGCTTGTTCTGGAACTGCAGGAGCATTTCTTGAAAACTACTTGGAGGAGGATAACTCAAGAACCGGTAGACGGATCAGTGCGATGTTTGGTGTGTAGGCAGCATAAAAAATAATTGTAAAAATTATATGTCAGGACAGAATTTGCATAATTAATGAAAATTCGAATTCTGTCAATTAGGCTGCTATTTGGGTGAAGAATGAGATCAACTATTTTGATTCATGCAAATGAAGAAAATTTGAAATTTGTTAGTCGTAAAGGTAAACATTACTTAGCAAAGGAATTTGATCCTGGAACTATTGTTGCTGCTCTTGAGATATCCTCTATACTTATGAAGAATGTTCGTATTATGTAGCCTCTGCCAGGCTTTGGTAGGCGGCTGGAAAGAGTAGAAATTGGCCAAGTAGAGGGATTACATGCCAGGGGAGTTGGTCCGCTAGAGAGTCACTTTGCCGCCTCACGGAGACTGGTGGAGGCTAAGTATTATGTCATTTAAGGACTGATTTCACTTTTTTGTAGGTGTATTTTGACTGGAGAATTGATTTTTTCGACATATTTTTTCCACATTTTGAGCATCGGTCCTTTCGGCCACAGCAAGTATTTTTTATGGATGACATAAGCGCGCGCATTGATTTTCACCTGATTTCGAAAAAAAAGAAACAAATTTTTTTTGGCTTCTGACAGTGGCCAACATGCCAAAAATGGGCAAAGACGTCTGTTTCCATGCCGGAACGTGGATAACAGATAAATATGAAGAGAGGAGGCAAGACAAGGCTCTGATTTAATGTTTTGTCTTTTACTTTTATGCCAGTGATGTATTTCATTCCTTTTATATGTGATGGTGGCTGTGTACATGTGATGTTCCCACTGAATGAAAACCATTTGTACAACGATTAAAAACTTATTTTTCAAAGTTGTTTCAGTGAGAAATGGATATTATAATAGTTGGCAGTAAACCTAGCACACTATCTGTATCATTTCTTAACAAGGTTTATGATGTCAAAATTTGAAAATGTAGAAATCTTGTTTTTTTGTGCCCGCCTTCTTTTGTTTTCACCCTATCACATTAGATTTGGAGTCTGCAGAGGATGTCATCCATTAAATTTACTTGCCATGGTCTTACTCTATCATTGTGTTAATTTACAAATTTATTGGATGTATAGAAGCATTCTTATCAATGAAAAATGATTTTAGTCTTTGGATCCTCTAGTAGAACAAAGATGAGCCTAGAGATACAGTAATTTGTAATTCTTATATTTATAATATATCCAAAAATTCTTTTATAGCTGTTTTACAGGGTTTACATAAAGTCATGCAGTTGAACATGTACATATAACGTTACATGACGTGAATTGTGAAATACAAAAACTAGTCAGGTCTAATATTTATTTAACAAAACAAGGACATTTTTTTTTTCAAATTACTTGTATCACTTTTCCTATTTTATTGCTTAATGTCACGATTGTTCACAAAAACAGAAGAACTGATTCAAAAAAAATTAAAAAATGTAATTTTTGCGCATTTTATTACCATCTACTAGTAGCCTCTACCAGGCTTGGGGAGGCGGCTGGAAAGAGTAGAAATCGGCCAAATAGAGAAAAAAGCATACCGAGGGAGTTTGTCCGTTGAGAGAACATTTCGCCGCAAAATGGG